TGCTCTACCATCCAGCCCAAGGAAGTGAAGGAGTGACTGGGCGCTGACCAAACGAGTGCTCTTCGTTTGGCCAGATGTAGCACCGATAAATACTATACTCTCATACCTCAAGAAACCTCCATTTTTTTCCCGTTTTAATGAAAATGTTCAAACTTCAGTGATTAATACACTGGAAATAACATAAAAATACTTTTTGTTCTGGCATATTTCTTAGTTGCTTATTATTCTAGTGTGAGGTTTACACTCCTGGGCAGTGATTGTCTAGGGTAGGGGGTGGGTTGGACGGCGGCTGACTGCAGCTATGGGCAAACCTTCTATGGGCGAGCCGCTACACTGAGCCAGAGTATATTAAGGATAATTATGTATTTTTCAGAGAGGAAAGTGAGACATTTATTTTCCTAAATATTGTGTTTGCTGAAGCTCTGACGACTGTCTAGTGATCCAGGCTTAAGGTATTACACAGAGTGCAGGGGCTGCTGGAGCCAGGGCAAGAATAACACATATTTTAACTTGTGTCCTTAATACATATTGGTTGTAAGTTAGGTAAATGCCACTTCAACATCTACTAAAGACGTAGGTACATGTTAGTATGGGTTACTCCCCATATTGGGGACTTCTCATAGTGTAACCATATTTTTGACGGTAAAAAGCTGTTTTGAAACGAAAATGTGTTATTAGATACACACAATCGTGTTAATTCTATTATCGTATTTACCAGTAGAGGCGAAGTTTGTTGTTCAGTTCTCAGTTGGTCCTCCAGACCAGGAGGTTTGGTCCTCCAGGACCACCAGACCATCGTCAACAGGGACCTTAGTGAGAAAGGAGTCAACATCCAGGCTTAACAGCTTTAGCTAACAGCTAACAGCTTAACAGCTACAGTCCATATTCGGACTATTACTTATAAAGTCTTGGGAGTGTTTAATGTGCGAGTCAGAGAAAACACCCATGAAGGGGGACAATATACTACTAAGCCATTAGGCTGTCTTGTAAGAAACAGAACCTCTGCTGGAAATAATGGGTCGTAAAGGAATACCAACCTCATGGGTTTTGGTTAGACCATAGCAATACGGTAAGCTTGGGTTACTGACCTTAACCTTTACCAGGAGCTCAATCACATATTTGTTCTTACCAATGTTTCTGACTTTTGTATTGAATTCTGAAGCAACCGATACGAGCGGATCTCTAGTCAGTTTTTCATAGGTATCTGTGTCCTATTGCAATGCCTCTGCTTTTTGGCAGTAATCTGTTTTGTTGAGAATTACTATTTTACCTCCTTTCATCTATTGAGAATTACTATTTACTACCCCCTTTCATCGGATTTGGTAAATATAATTTTATCCTTCTTTTTAAGATTCATAAGTGGTCATTGGTATCGTTTAGGGACACCCACATTATTAGCAAAACATTCGTCGGTTGGTAGTAACATCTTACCCTTAAGACATACCCAACGATGTAAGCCAACGCATGATTCCTCTTACTCTTCATTGACTGACAGAAGCTGAGCTGTGACTGAGAGCCCGGTCGACGTAAGCGTTTACAACAGTCACAACTTTGGATGGAAGCAAGTCGATGAAGAACTCTGGAGGGTAAGGCAGGTCTTAGTCAACGATGGCTTCTCTAACGGTTATGTTGAAGACGTCATAAAAAGAAAGGTGAAACGCCATACAACCTCTGAAGAGTCAGCTAACACAACACCTGTACCCACTATTAGACTGTTTTACATTAACTTAGGTAAGGCCCTCAGGTAAGACAACAGGCCCACAACAGTCTTGTGGGCCTGTTGACTTAGGTAATCCAGTAGGATTTCCTTCACCAGGTTCATCTTAGCAGTCCCCGTGGAGCAATGGTAAAGCACTCGCCCGGAGCTTCGCGAGCGCTATGGACTGGGTTCGTATCCTGGCCGGGGAGGATTGACTGGGCGCCAATCCTTAACTGTAGCCTCTGTTCACCTAGCGGTGAATGGGTACCTGGCGGTTAAACGATTTTGCGGGTCGTATTCTAGGGAAAATTAGGTTTAAGAACCTGCCCAAGACGCTATGTTTACTAGTGGCTTTACAAGAATGTAAGAACTCTTGTGTATATAAATAAATAAATAAATAAATAAATAAATAAATAAATAAATAAATAAATAAATAAATAAAAAATAAAATAAAGGTTGTCAGATGCCACTGAAGAGGACAGGAAGCCTGGTACAGCAATTTGTGTTGCTGTGCGAACACCGAGGCCTCCGAGTCTGACAGGAAGGGAGGCTGGTTTCCACTGTGAGTCGCTGAGAGAAAAGGTGAGGGCATTTTCTAACAATGATTTCAGTAAGCGGTCGTACTCCTCTAGCCTAAGGCTACTGAAGGATGCTGAACATCTAAGAAAGTAGGTCAACCTGGGGAGGGACAAACTTCTCATTATGAAGGGAAGGAAATTTTGAGGACAAAGCGCCAAGCCATTACGACTATATAGCACTGGGAAGGGGTCAGGATAAGGATTTGGGATGGGACAGGGGGAAGGAATGGTGCCCAACCACTAGGACGGTCGGGGATTGAACGCCGACTTGCATGAAGCGAGACCGTCGCTTCACGGTCTCATTATGAGGTAAAGTTTACATATACATATATACTAGGGAAAGTACATATAGATATACTGAACATAAATATCAATGCTTGCTTCAGGTTCCAAGGGAAACCAGCGTAGGATAACAGCTATTAACTCAGCTGGAAATGTTCATTTAGAAGCACAGTTTGTACTTCCACTGAGCAGTTGTCTGAGTTAAGAAACGTTAACGTTGTAACAATAAAAAGCTGGAAGCCTTATTAGCTGCCTTATTCTTAAATAAAAATGAAAGGAAATAGTTTGCAGAGTAAAATGACCAAGCTCGCCAGAGGACGATTTAACACGTGAGTTATGTTAAGATTCAAGTCTCCCGGAAGGTCTTACTGTGTTGAAGAGAAAGCAGAGGAGAAAGTATAAAAAAAATATTAATAAAAAGCTCTTCACAGTTCTCTAGAGAGCTGTATGAAGACAAAGTGTATTACGTTGATACAACTGTATGTGTATGTGTATGTGTTTGTGGTGTTAGTGTAGAGAGACAGTGTAGTGAAGTGTTGGAGAAGTGTAGATGACAGTGTAGAGACACAGAGACAGTGTAGTGTAGTCTTGAGGACAGTAAGTGTAGGTGACAGTGTAGAGAGACAGAGACAGTGTAGTGTAGTGTTGGGGAAGTGTAGGTGACAGTGTAGAGAGACAGAGACAGTGTAGTGAAGTCTTAAGGAAGTGTTATTCAATGAACATGTACTTGTAGGAAGGAAATAATTGTCGGCGGTGACTTAAACAATTAATATATAACATGTTTATTATGGAACATCCGCTCATGTTAAACTATATGTAAATGTCTGCTTGTTCTGGCATGTGGAAACACATACTGTTTTCTTCACTAATTCTTAAAGCCTTATGTTAAAGAAGACCAGAATATATTGATGATAATATAAATAGTGGAAACTATAGTTTAAGATATTAAAAAAAAATATTAATTTATCAACCTTTAGAAAGTTTACGAAGCAATTTGTACAGATTAAAAAAACAACTTTTATCAAAGTTATGGAATTTTGAATTATCATTGTATAGTTTAAGGATCGCGATATCATAAAAAATTACTCCTAAAAAATGCACCATGGTAATTATAAAGAGTTTTGGAACATAATCCTGTGTTTAGCTTACGAAAGAATCTTACTGACTTCCCTCACCCTATATACACGCCACCTCTCAAACTGTGTGATATATATGTCTAAATTAATGTCTTTACTCAAAGTTGCCGACTCAGAATCAGCTATATCTATAAAATCGAATATCTGTCTGTCAAAAGTCCCAGGCCAGATGCTCGAGGCCAGTCTCACTCAACTTTCCAAAATGAGAAATGTTGGGTAGGGGAGTGTCATAGGCCAGACGGGGTCCGTTCATGTGCTATACTTTAAAAAAAACATCGGCCTCTAGTTCAAACCCCCTCCCCCCCCCCCTCCCCTCAGTGTGTGATTTTCACGAGGTCTAACATGAAATCGCGGATATGGTCTCCGTAGAGTGTTGAAGTTACTACCCCCCCCCCCCCCCTCCTCCCCGTTTACCCCGCAAGATATCATGATTTACTCGAAAACGACGAACTGAATGAAGATAGTGAGTAGCGGAGACGGTTATAGTGCTAAAGATAGTGAGCAGTTAAGGTGGTTTTGGTGATGAAAATGGTATATACGGTGAAGATAATGTGAAGAAGAGGAGAGAGAGAGAGAGAGAGAGAGAGAGAGAGAGAGAGAGAGAGAGAGAGAGAGAGAGAGAGAGAGAGAGAGAGAGAGAGAGAGAGAGAGAGAGAGAGAGAGAGAGAGAGAGAGAGAGAGGGGGGAAGGGTGAGGCCATGGGGGGGGGGAGGGGATGAGAGGGAAAATGAGGGAAGAGGAGATAAAGACGTGGTAAGAGAGAGAAGAGAACTAATATGAGAAAGACGGAGAAGGGTAACGAGTCAGAATAGAAGTGGAGAGGAGGACAGGAGGAAAAGAAGGGTTGAGAAATGAAAGGAAGAGAAGGGAGGGAAGAGGATAATGGAAAGTACAGCCACAGACCCGGGCACCGCCGGGTACATTACACTAAGCTGTGTTTGCCCCCGTGTCTTCCTACAATGTATCCACATGTGTCCGTTACATTATAACAATTACAGTGGCATGAGCAGTAATTTCATCCATTGAACATCATTATATAATTACATCTTTGGTAACCAGAGACAGAAAGCCAAACCCAGTTAAAATCACTCCCCCAAAAAATACACATCCCACTTAAATTCTGCCCATTTGACTTGGGCAAGTATTTGTTTATTTTCGTGGCCTTCTTTTGTTTGTAGGGAAGGCGCAAGAGGTACAGGTGGATATTGGTTCCATTGTGAAGTCAAACTGCTTTGAGTTAGAACCGTCTATGAGCAGCTGCGCTTCAGTTGAACAGCAGTAAACAAACCGTTCACGTCTTTGCAGTAACACAGACCGCCACTAACATCACAGTAACACAGACCGCCACTAACATCACAGTAACACAGACCGCCACTAACATCACAGTAACACAGACCGCCACTAACATCACAGTAACACAGACCGCCACTAACATCACAGTAACACAGACCGCCACTAACATCACAGTAACACAGACCGCCACTAACATCACAGTAACACAGACCGCCACTAACATCACAGTAACACAGACCGCCACTAACATCACAGTAACACAGACCGCCACTAACATCACAGTAACACAGACCGCCACTAACATCACAGTAACACAGACCGCCACTAACATCACAGTAACACAGACCGCCACTAACATCACAGTAACACAGACCGCCACTAACATCACAGTAACACAGACCGCCACTAACATCACAGTAACACAGACCGCCACTAACATCACAGTAACACAGACCGCCACTAACATCACAGTAACACAGACCGCCACTAACATCACAGTAACACAGACCGCCACTAACATCACAGTAACACAGACCGCCACTAACATCACAGTAACACAGACCGCCACTAACATCACAGTAACACAGACCGCCACTAACATCACAGTAAGTTGCACTGCAGCATTGTGTTTCTGGGTACACAGTGGTGTTGCGAACTTCCCAGAGAAAACTCACCGCTCTTTGTGCCTTGATGTTGAAAGTTCAGCTCCTGACTTAATGAGGTCCAAGTCCCTTGATAAGATCATCCAGTTCGCTTAGATTATGAGGATGTGAACGCGTTCGTGCCTATCGTCCCAAGGACCCTAGAGCAGGCAAGCGGGGGTTGAAGACAGGGGCGAAGATGCAGAAATCTTGAGCTAGGAACTGGAGACAAGTCGAAGAGGGGGGGGGGGGGAAGTTGGTGGCCCAACCACAGTGGGTGAGACTTGCAGCTGGTGATGTGGTGTGGTGGTAAGGTGGAGTTCTCATGGTTGCTGGCTGATGTGTCCTGCAGGAGGCAGGGCGTCTCGTCGCCCTGTTCTTTACAGCATGTCGTCGGTGTTCTTCTGTTTACTTGATTTTCTCATTCACGAATCGTCGGTGTTCTTCTTCCCGGGCTTCTTGGCCGGTCTGTTGGTCTTGCTGCGCGTTGACATGGTGAGGCTGTCGTTGGAGGTCGTGTCCCGAGAGGAAATCTTCGGTTGTGTAGGGGAGCTTCCGTGGCGGAGGAGGGGTTCCCACCGAGACGTCCTCATCCGATGAGTCGGCTGACTCAGAAGTAGAGGCGGTGGATCTTGAGGGATGAGTTCTTGCTTGTTGAGTCTCCACGGGTCCTGCAGCTGATGTATATCGTTCAGAGGGTTCACACATGAGAGGTGGAACTGTGGCAGTTGTCGATGAAGGAGGCGTCGGCGTCTGGGTGGCTTGTGATGGTGTTGCAGGAGGAGCAGCAGCAGCAGGCGTTGCTGCTGTTGACAGTAGATCCGTCAGCACGGCGGCGCTCACAGTCATGTCCCAGACCGGATCCGGACCTTGAGAACTGGAGGGTAAGTGGTGTTGGTGTAAACTTCATCACGAACGGTGAAAGCTGGCACACCATTTGCTTTGTAGAGAATATTTAGAATTCTACCATATTCTTGGGGGTTATTGCCAGCTATCATACTGGCCGCCCATGTCAACACTTGTACTGTGCTGTACAGTGATTGGTCGTGGTGGGCTGGAGGTGGCGACGGCTGGCTCGATGAGTGGCTGGTTGGTTGGGAGCTGGGCACCCATTGGACGTGAACGCGTTTGTTGTTGTTGTTTAAAATTTGCTACTTGGAACAAAAAATTCCACGTAGCACACGTTCGTGGTAAGAATCCTTCATATATTCCTTGGCTGCTACGGATTGCCGACTATTTAGTCACAAATGCAACCTTCTGAAGTATAAAATACTTTTAAATTGCAAATTGCATTGTAAGTTTGTGGGTACTTAAAGTACGTTTTATGATAGTAATAGTTACAAGTAATAGTTACTAACATTTGCTATTGTGGTAATGGCAAGTTATCGCCACGTTGAGCAGGTGTTATAGAAAACGGGATGTCTGGATACTTAAGAGCTTGCATGCCTGAAGGGAAGAGAGATATCAAGAGAAAGCGCCAAGCCATCACGACTATATAGCACTAGGAAGGGATCAGGATAAGGATGTGGGATGGGACGGGGTGGAGGAATGGTGCCCAACCACTTGGACGGTCAGAGATTGAACGCCGACCTGCATGAAGCGAGGTCGTCGCTCTACCGCCCACCCCAAGTGGTTGGCTGGACCTGAACTTCACAACATCAATCCCGCAGAAACAGCCGTCGTTGTAGTGGTTCTTTCCTCAATATTCGGGGAATAGTACAAAGCATAGCCCTTCTCGCACCTCTTAACCATCCTTCTAGAGTAGATCAACCCTCTACTTGTGTCTATCTACTCTTGTAGTATACTCTAGTAGAGACGTAGAGCGGACACATGCTGCATGAGGGGGTCCCAAAACTTGCCTCGGGCACCTATAGACAGACCAATGTTCAGTCTATATGATATCCAGAATTTGGCACCTTTCACCATGATAACCACAAACATAATAGAATGTGACGAATTTTTGCATTGTCCATTTGCTATATTGTAAAAAAATAAAATTATTTACAATTCAAAAAAGCAGTTTGAAACGAGAAGCTGTGATTATAAATATGTAAAAATATGATTTGATAATGTGGTTGACAACGCTGTTCGCAAACATTAAATTAAGCGGCTCTTCAGATACTAAATATCAGAATTATAAATGTAACTGTAAACATTGAAAATAAAGAAAACTAATAACAATTTTGGAATCAGTGTTCGACATTTAGTAAGAAACACTGAAAAAGATCACGATTTACAAAAATTGTTTTTTGCAAAATTTGTTACTTAGCAAAATGACTGAATGTTTTGCAATGGTTGCCGACAACATCTCACTCAACCTTCAATATGTTCACTATTAATATGGTAGTTAAAAATTATGATTTTATTAAAAAGAAAACTAGTTTATGCATGCAGTTGCATTCACGAAATCTCCAGTAAGATCTGTATAAACTTTGCACGTAGTAATTTCTATAAAAGAAATTTAGATTGTCAAAGAAAATAATTACACTAAGCTATAGAAGGTCGTGGATGAAAAAAGATTTTTCTTGCATTAGAGATTATTATTTCCTAATTAAATGGAATAATGGTAACGTGCTTAATGAATTATTGAATCAAGTGCAATAAAATTAAATTGTGATTTTGTTAACATTTGACCCGTAATTGTATAAATAATAGGAAATTAGTGTTAGAAAATACATTCATACAATGAAAGTATAAATAATTGAGCTGCTATGAATGTTTCTTGATTTCGTTGGGTCGTTTATTTAAAAAACTGCAAAAAATTATAAAAATTATCATTAAAATATTCATATTTTATTTGTGAGTGTGTGTGGATATGTGGACTACCTGTGTCATCAGCCGCACCACAAGAGCACAGCAACGTTGTGGCTTGTGTCTACACTTTGACCTTAATAATGATGAAAAACACAGCTATAATTAAGTTGAATAATTGGCGTTGTAATATGCACTTTTTTAAGAATATAATGCCGCTAATTACGTTAATGTGGTGTCAGGTCATCTGTTAAGACTTGACTTCTTAACCCGGTAATCTGGTAATTAGCCCAACCTTATAATCGCTTTGTTTCCCAATTTGGGCTTCGACTACTGTATCTCTCACCTTTTATTTTTGCATTATATGTGTATAACTGATTTCCTTACTCATACCTTGTTGGCCTCTGATGATGATGGTGTGTGTGTGTGTGTGTGTACTCACCTATTTGTGCTTGCGGGGGTTGAGCTTTGGCTCTTTGGTCCCGCCTCCCGTGTGTGTGTGTGTGTGTATACTCACCTATTTGTGCTTGCGGGGGTTGAGCTCTGGCTCTTTGGTATCGCAGAGGAATAAATAAATCACAATTAAATAAAATTTACGACATTGCGTTATATAACAATTTATTAATAACAAGAGACTAACTACTACATTACCGAGTTTACGTTATGTTAATGTCAATCCAGTGGCACGATAACAAACAGCTAAATAGCAACCCTTGCTGTGAGGCTGCATACTGAACTAACCTGAACACAGGTGTGCCCACTGATGACGCAATATTGCAAAACAAAGAAAAATATCACAGACTAAGTTACACCACAGCGAATGGTTACGTTATTGTACATCAAGTGGCATTTGCAACACAACTATTCAACAGCCCCTCGAGAAGTGACAGCAGGCTCCATCTTGCTGACACTTCGGGCTGACAACATGAACTAACTGAACAAATGAAGGATCCACTGAAACAAAGACACAAGCAGGCAATCAATAGTGTCACGGTTTCCCTGACAGCTACTATAATCACAAACTCAGGGGTCCTCCTGCCCCCCAGGAGAGACCCACGTAACTAGGTGGAAGTCTAACAGTGACTCCCCCCCTATCACAACCCCGTGTGAACACTCTTTGCAACTCCCACTAAGAAGGTGCCCTGTTGTAACCCGATACACCGACAGGCAAGGCGGGAATTCTGGGACACAGCTCCACAGATCCCTAGTATGACTCTACTCTCGTCACCAGACGACAACCAAAAGAAATTGCCTTAAGTGATTAATTACGTTAATTGACTGATCGCAGCAGTCAGCAACAAAGTACTACGGTAATCACAAACAATTGTCACCCACTAGACAACAACATGATGATACTCTACGTTAATCTTTAACACTTGTCTCTCTCTTGTTAACAATAACTCAACATATTACAACACACTTGACTCCTTGCAAGTATTCAGTGAGTAATTCTCAATTAAGGTCAAACGGACCACTAATTACATCCCCATTGTGTTACGTTAACTAAGCCTACCCTGACTTGGTAGCTTCTCCACAGTCTGTGTTAAAAAATTACTAGTGAGTGTTAATTACCCTAATTAGGGCACTAATTACTGCTGAGCCATTAATTACCTGTCACCAGGACCGATAATTAATCATCCATAAATACGCCTCACTCCGCACTGCCTAAGCAGGTCTCATCAAACACTGTGAATTCACGGGAAAGGAGTTAATTACCCTAATTAACAAGATGTGCCAATAATCCACTGTCCTCAGACAGGATATGATTAATACAACGATTTATGCTAGCTCCATGACCTCGCTTTACCGAGTCACCGGAGCTCTCCAATGCTAATTACTCTACCAATTAACATGAGCCACTAATTGCTTTACCCCTGAAAGGTAATTAGTCTCGAGCATATTACGTTAACACAAATACTGACAGACTCTGACAGAACCTCTCCCACTACGTGAATTCATGATGAGAAGGCTAATTACATAATTAGCTAGAGTAGTCAATTAACTGTCACATGGACAATTAATTGCTCCCGAGACGTATCTCATTATAGCTCAACACTGTTTCTCTTAACAGCCCCCACTCACTCCCCAATACTAAGTGTGCACCCCTTATCCAGTTAATTACCCCTTAATTAACTCACTGAATCCTTAAGTCCTCAACATAACTTAAAGAAACAAAGTAACCCCAGCGTTACATAGGTCACACTATAATGGCATGCAACATCATAACAGCACTACCCACATATAGTTGCAGCACTGCAACTCGCTAATTACTGTGCCCACACAATAAAAACACACGGTTGTGCAACACACACAAGTATACTAATATTACTGCCCCTCTCCCTCTTTTACCTCTTGCACCCGATTGC